AGAGTCGGCCGCTCTTAACCACCACACCAGCTGGCTCTTGCTAAGGAAAGGTGGGGGATTTCGGCAGTGTTTCTTTCCATGTTCTTACGGTGCTACGCACAGCAGGCTGGATTACGGTTCTGCATTTTGGCCTTTAAAACACACACACACACACACACACACCACATCTGCACAGGACAAACTCCTGTATTCTACTCAAGTTGGCATCCTTTAGCTGCCCACTTCAAAGTGGTCACTGGGTCCACAGTCCAGGACGAGGGCCCCCCAACCTTTTCGTGCCTGCGAGCACCTTTGGAATTCTGACACAGCGTGGTGGGCGCGGCGACAAAGCGGCTGCCACAAAATGGCTGCCTCGGAAGGCGGAGCCAGCCACAAAATGGCTGCCCCAGCTTGCCTTCAGTCACACAGTGGCGCTCCTTGCGCTGTGGTGGCAGCTGCCGCCAAAGCAACATTTTTTTAAAAATCTGCACCGCCAGTCAAATCTCCAGTGTCCAGTCAGAAGGCTTCCTGGGCAAAAGCCCCACCTACTTTCCAAAAACACTTGGGTGGGTGCCAGGAAAGGTGTTGGCAGGCACCCACGGGCACCACGTTGGGGACTCCCGGTCTAGGACACTGTGTTCTCATGGAAATACGCTTGCTGGAAAGGGGGTTCTGGCAATCACTGCGGGAACAGATGCAGGTGAAAAGGATCAGAAGGAAACAGGTAATGGAACTAGATTCGGGTGGGGCAGCCGTGTTGGTTTGAAGCAGCAGAACAAAGTTGGGAGTCCAGGGGCACCTTTAAGACCAACAAAGTCTTATTCTGGGTAGAAGCTTTCATGGGCACGCACACTTCTTCAGGTACAACGAAGTGGAAGTGACCAGTCCATACACACAGGCAGAGGGTGGGCAGTAAGTTAGCACACAGCATAATGAATGGTTATCAGCAGGGCTATTTTTGGGCAGGAACGCACAGGAACGGAGTTCCGGCTGGCTCCTGAGGTGGCCACGCCCAGCAGGGACTCATTAGCATAACAGGCCACACCTAACAGCAGAAACTCATTAGGATTGGCTACATTAGGGGTGTGTGGCCTAACATGCAAAGGAGTTCCTGCTACAAAAAAGCCCTGAGTTTTGACAACAAAGTAAACAGAATAAGAAGCAAAAGGTGGGTGTGGCTGGATGAGCACACGTCTGGTAACATGGGGGTATGGCCTAATAGGCTAATGAGCTGTGTTGTCAGGGTTGTGGCCTAATATGGTAATGAGTTTCTGCTGTTGGGTGTGGCCTATTATGCTAATGAGTTCCTGCTGGTCTTTTTCTACAAAAAAAGCCCTGCATCCGTGTTCCCTCTAAGCTGAGTTAGTGTCAGCTGGCTCACAGTTTTTTAGCCCCCAGCTCACACATTTTTATCTTCGCTCAGGAAGGGGGGCTCCACACAGTGTTTCCTCTAAGCTGAGTTAGTGTGAGCTAGCTCACACATTTCTATCTTAGCCCAGGAAGGAGGGCTCCAGAGCAAACTAATTTATGCCGTAGCCAAATCGCTTGCTCCCAACTTTAATGCCAGGAGCTCACGAAGTAGAATGTTTGCTCACAGGACTCCACAGCTTAGAGGGAGCATCGTTTACCAGTTGTTTGGATTTAATTACGGGACGGAAACACAGTGAAGGAAACAAATATGTCGAAATTGGAGATGGACGGGCAGGTGTATCTTTTATTGCGGCACGCTGAGAGTAATTAAGGTACTGGAACTGGAGACCTTCTTGTGGTCCGGTTTGACCAAAGGGTACCTGAGTTACCTCCTCCCCCGAATGCAGAACCACAAAAGCGAGTCGCAGACACTCGACGGCAACAGATTCAACTCACCTCAGTCTGTCACAGAAAATGTTGTCTATGTTCCAAAGAAAAAATCCCATTAGAAATAGCGTCAGGGACGTATAACCCAAACCCCTGAGCCAGGGATATACCCTAGAGAGAAAGAGAGAGTAGCAAAGGGAAGATTGTAAGTACACAAAAATCCACCTTTCTCACAGGAAGCTGGGCTGAAAATATTATTTTTTATTGGAAAATTTTATTTTGTTTCTAATTTTGCATTTATACATTCCATCCATACCTCTTACATATATATCAGAGTCATTCATCGCTTAGTCATTCTTACATACATTTTGAGTTCGCTATTCACTTAACAACTCTCCTAGCCAATTATATACTTTCCCCCATCTCTTCTCATGTACCTTTTCATTCCTGTTCTGCAACATTAAACTCAAATCATCCATTTGTGCTAACTCCAGGAAGCTGGGCTGAAAGTATTATTGAAACTTGTGTGTGTGTGTCCCCCCCCCTTCCAGAGACCAGCTCAAGGTGACTTGCGGCTAAGATAATACAAAATATTTAACATCCATCCAGGGCTCTTTTTGTAGCAGGAACTTGTTTGCATATTAGGTGACACACCCCCTAATGTAGCCAATCCTCCAAGAGCTTACAGAGCTCTTCTTACAGGGGCTACTGGAAGCTCTTGGAGGATTGGCTACATGGGAGGCGGGGTGTCGCCTAATATGCAAAAGAGTTCCTGCTACAGAAAGAGCCCTGCATGCACCTATTCAAAACAAAGCCATTAATGTACAACCAGGGGTCATTTCCTGCAGGAGCGCACAGGAGCGGAGCTCCGGCAGTAAAGAGCCCAGGGGGCGGGCACATGCAACAAGCCCCACCCCCTGTTCCCAGCAGCCCTCAGTCAGAGCAAGAAGCAGCCAGGTAAGTTGCAGAGCTTCCCCCAGAGAGGGATTAAAATGCGGATAGCCTTAAGAAGAAGGCAGCTTAAGAAGAAGACGGCAATGACAAAGAGGAAGAGGAGGAGACTGGATTTATACCCCGCCCTTCACTTGGAGTCTTAGAGGGGCTTACAAACTCCTTTCCCTTCCCCTCCCCACAACAGGCACCCTGTGAGGCGGGTGGGGCTGAGAGAGCTCTGAGAGAACTGTCCTTGAGAGAACAGCTCTGACAGAACTACGGCTTGCCCAAGGCCATCCAGCAGGTGCAAGTGGAGGCGTGGGGAATCAAAACTGACTCGCCCAGATTAGAGTCTGTGCTGCAAACCACTCCACCAAACTGGCTCTCTACAGTTCTCTAGGGGGCTTGTAGGGGGCTTGCAACTCAAGATCTAGATCTGAGAGAACTTGTAACTGACCTAAGGTCACACCAGCAGCTGCATGTGGACGAGTGGGGAATCAAACCCGGTTCTCCCAGATTAGAGTCCACGCACTTAACCACTACACCAAACTTGCACCAAAGTGGATTAGATAAATTCATGGAGGTAAGTTGATCAATGGCTACTAGCCATGGAGACTAACGGGAACCTCCACATTTAGAGGCACTACACCTCTGAATCCCAGAGCCAGGAGGCAACATCAGGGGAAGGCCTCGGCCTCTCTGCCCTGTTGCTGGCCCTCCAGAGGAACTGGTTGGCCCGTGTGAGACAGGAGGCTGGACTAGATGGCCCCTCACTGGTCTGATCCAGCAGGGCTCTTCTGATGTTCTTACCAGGGGAAGGCCTCGGCCTCTCTGCCCTGTTGCTGGCCCTCCAGAGGAACTGGTTGGCCCGTGTGAGACAGGAGGCTGGACTAGATGGCCCCTCACTGGTCTGATCCAGCAGGGCTCTTCTGATGTTCTTACCAGGGGAAGGCCTCGGCCTCTCTGCCCTGTTGCTGGCCCTCCAGAGGAACTGGTTGGCCCGTGTGAGACAGGAGGCTGGACTAGATGGCCCCTCACTGGTCTGATCCAGCAGGGCTCTTCTGATGTTCTTACCAGGGGAAGGCCTCGGCCTCTCTGCCCTGTTGCTGGCCCTCCAGAGGAACTGGTTGGCCCGTGTGAGACAGGAGGCTGGACTAGATGGCCCCTCACTGGTCTGATCCAGCAGGGCTCTTCTGATGTTCTTACCAGGGGAAGGCCTCGGCCTCTCTGCCCTGTTGCTGGCCCTCCAGAGGAACTGGTTGGCCCGTGTGAGACAGGAGGCTGGACTAGATGGCCCCTCACTGGTCTGATCCAGCAGGACTCTTCTTATTTTATCATGCAAGGCAAGCCTCAAGGGGGAGGGGCATTCAAGAAGCAAGGTGCCATCACCAAAAAGGCCCTGTTTAGGGTCACCACCTGCAAAACGTCAAGAGCCCAGAAGGGGATCTAATCTGGCAGGCTGGACAATATGAACACAGGCGGTCCTTCAAGGACTGGGCGGTGAATGAAACAAAAGTGTGACACGTAGCATCTGAGCGATACTTACCACATCACTATATATACGGATCGCAGTACTAAGACCAAGACCAGCGTCCCGTACATAACCTGTAGGATGGGGGGGAAAGGGGGGATTGTTAATCACCTCTCTGCACCAAATCCTGCCCAGAACCAGGACCCTTTTCAGTCATAGAATCATAGAGTTGGAGAGAATTTCCAGGGTCATCTAATCCAACCCCCTGCGCAATGCAGGAAATCCACAAATACCTCCCTCCCTCACACCCCCAGTGACCCCTGTTCCACGCCCAGAAGATGACAAAAAACCTCCAGGATCTCCAGCCAAACTGGCCGGGAGGAAAATGGCTTCCTGACCCCAAAAGTGGCGATCAGCATTTTCCTAGGAAAGGGCCACGAGAACTAAGCACTGAGGCAACCCTTCCCGCCCTCCCTCTCATGATTTGCCTCAGTTCACAGAATCAGCATTGCTGTCCGATGGCCGTCTAGCCGCTGTTTGAAAAGCTCCCCAGAAGGAGAGCCCACCACCTCCCGAGGAAGCCCGTCCCACTGAGGAACCCCTCTGACTGCCAGGACGTTCTTCCTGATATTTAGCCAAAAACTCTTCTGATGTAGATTTCAACCCGTTGGTTCCGGTTCAAAGGTCTGGGGCAACAGAAAACAACGCCACACCATCCTCTAGATCAGGGGTGTCGAACTCTTTTGTTATGAGGGCCGGACCTGACATAAATGAGACCTTTGTTGGGCCGGGCCGTGTGTGTCATAAACTTTATAAAGGTCGCAAACGCAAAGAGTTTTTTTTTAAACTTAAAATAAAAACATGCTTAAAACATTAGCTCCGTAAGCTGCAAACCTACTTTTGATTTATTGTCATTCACCGCAGAACTCTCACGCTCAGAGTTCTGAGTCTAGGACACAGGTTGAAACATGAAATAGCTGAGTGATTAAGAGAGTCTGGCGAAGCAAGCGACGATGCAGCAGCAGAAAAAGAACTGGAAGCAGGAGATGGCCAGTTCCACTGCAGGCCTCATGGGAAGCCTCTGGTGGCCTCATCCAGCCCCTGGGCCGCATGTTTGACACCCCTGCCCTAGATGACAGCCCTTCAAGGACCTGGGTGTTCTGGTTGATCACAAGCGAAACATGAGCCTGCAGTGCGATGTGGGTGTGAAGAAAGCGAATGCAATCTTAGGATGCATGAACAGAAGCATTGTGTCCAGATCAAGGGAGGTGGTCGTTCCGCTCTATTCTGCTATGGTCAGGCCTCACCTGGAGTCCTGTGTCTAGTTTTGGGCACCACATTTGAGGAAGGATGTTGACAAGCTTGAGCGTGTCCAGAAGAGGGCAACCAGGGTGGTGAGAGGGTTGGAATCCAAGTCTTATGAGGAAAGGCTGAAAGAATTGGGTCTGTTTAGCCTGGGAAAGAGAAGGCTTAGAGGGGACATGATTGCAGTCTTCAAGTATCTGAAGGGCTGTCATGCAGAAGATGGAGCAGATCTATATTCTCTCTTGCTCCGGATTGCAAGACTAGATCTAATGGGTGGGAATTACAAGGGAGTCTTTACCGGCTAAATATCAGGAGCAACTTCCTAACTGTAAGAGTGGATGAGCAGTGGAACGGACTGCCTCGGGAGGTGGTGGAAGTTCCTTCGCTGGACGTTTTCAAGCGGAGGCTGGACGACCATCTTTTGGGTATGTTGTAGGGCTGTCTTTCGGCTATGCTCCTGCAGAGTGCAGAGGGGGCTGGACTAGATGGCCCGCAAGGTGCCTTCCGACTCTTAACGTTCTATGATACTGTGATTCTAAGTACTTGAAGATGGTCCTCATATCCCCTCTCAGTTGTCTCCTCTCGAGGCTAAATGTACCCGGCTCCTTCAACCTTCCCTCATAGGACTTGGTCTCCAGACCCCTCACCATCACGTCAATCAAGTCAATGCCCTGTTTCCTTATAGCAACGGCAGCCCAAATGGGGAGAACGGTGTTGAATGCAAAGGCAGCTTAATGTTGCTCACAGAACTGAATAAACTGTGATCCTCGCGCACCCCCGCAGTCGACATATAGGGGCAGAGAAGCTGGGTTTACGTGGAGGAAACGAAAGAAATGTGGGGGGCTTTGGTCTGCGGAGCCTGGAAGAAAGTTCGTGGTGGGCGTGCCGCCTTCAGATCACGCATCCAAAGAACCTTGCTGACCAGACCTCCTGACTGGCTTTTTAAAAAGCAGGGCCATCCCTGGTTGGTACTTGGATGGGAGACCACCAAGAAGCCAAGGGTTGCTACGCAGAGTCAGGCAATGGCAAACCACCTCTGTGTGTCTCCTGCCCTGCCCTGGATGGCCCAGGCTAGCCTGATCTCATCAGATCTTGGAAGCTAAGCAGGGCCATCCCTGGTTGGTATTTGGATGGGAGACCACCAAGGAAGCCAAGGGTTGCTATGCAGAGGCAGGCAATGGCCAACCACCTCTGTTCATCTGCCCTGATCTGGATGGCCCAAGCTAGCCTGATCTCATCAGATCTTGGAAGCTAAGCAGGGCCATCCCTGGTTGGTACTTGGATGGAAGACCACGAAGGAAGCCAAGGGTTGCTACGCAGAGGCAGGCAATGGCCAACCACCTCTGTTCATCTGCCCTGATCTGGACGGCCCAGGCTAGCCTGATCTCATCAGATCTTGGAAGCTAAGCAGGGCCATCCCTGGTTGGTACTTGGATGGGAGACCACCATGGAATACAAGGGTTGCTAAGCAGAGGCAGGAAATGGCCAACCACCTCTGTATGTCTTTTGCCCTGACTTGGATGGCCCAAGCTATCCTGACCTCATCTGATCTAGGAAGCTGAGCAGGGTCAGCCCTGGTTAGTTCTTGGGCAGGAGACCACCGAGGAAGTCCGGGGTCGCCACGCAGAGGCAAACCCACCTCTGAACATCTCTTGCCTTGACAAGTTGGCTGAGACTTGGTGGCACTTCCCAACACACACACAACCGATGGTTCTGCAAAGTAGGAGGTGGAAAATGTGCAGTGGCAAAGAAAACAAACCCCACACCAATGTTAAGGTGTTTTGATGGAAAAGAATGGAAAAATGAAGGAAGCGCCCCTTTTCTTTTGATAGGCAGGGAGAGTGTTCCAAGTTCCTAGGCGTTGACATCACACCTGAAGCTGCCTTGCGCTGAATCAGACCTATGCTTCATCAAGGTCAGTATCGTCTACTCAAGACTGACCGCCGTTCTCCAGAGTCTCGGGCAGAGGTCTTTCACATCACCTGCTGCCTGGTCCTTTGAACTGGAGATGCCGAGGATTGAACCTGGGACCTTCTGCATGCCAAGCAGAGGCTCTACCTCTGAGCCACAGCCCCTGTCTATGTCTCGCCAGGGTCTCAGGAAGAGGTCTTTCACATCACCTGCTGCCTGGTCCTTTGAACTGGAGATGCCGAGGATTGAACCTGGGACCTTCTGCATGCCAAGCAGAGGCTCTACCTCTGAGCCACAGCCCCTGTCTATGTCTCGCCAGGGTCTCAGGAAGAGGTCTTTCACATCACCTGCTGCCTGGTCCTTTGAACTGGAGATGCCGAGGATTGAACCTGGGACCTTCTGCATGCCAAGCAGAGGCTCTACCTCTGAGCCACAGCCCCTGTCTATGTCTCGCCAGGGTCTCAGGAAGAGGTCTTTCACATCACCTGCTGCCTGGTCCTTTGAACTGGAGATGCCGAGGATTGAACCTGGGACCTTCTGCATGCCAAGCAGAGGCTCTACCTCTGAGCCACAGCCCCTGTCTATGTCTCGCCAGGGTCTCAGGAAGAGGTCTTTCACATCACCTGCTGCCTGGTCCTTTGAACTGGAGATGCCGAGGATTGAACCTGGGACCTTCTGCCTGCCGAGCAGAGGCTCTACCGCTGAGCCACGGCCCTTCCCCTTTCTTAAAACCCTGGCAAACCCAGGGATAGGGACTTTCCATTACAAGAACAGAACACCCGCCTTGCTTCTTTCTCCTTTTGCAACTCATTCTGAATTAACATCCCTTACAGCTACTGGGAAAGGGAGCGGAATACTGTTTGAAGGTACATGCCTAGAAGATACGACTGGGAAAGCGGATGGTAATTTGTCCCCGATGCCGCCGCCAAAATGGGAAGCTCTTTCTGCTGGCGGATTCCAAGTTAACTTCCAGCCCTTGCCTGCGGCTCCGTAGTTTTACAGCTCCAGTATCTTGTTCTGAACAGGCTATAATTAACTCACCTGGAATGAACGCGCGTGGGGGAAATACCCTCCCTGTTTTTCCATATTTAATTGGGGGGTGGGGAGGGGCGCATAATCAGACATGACCGTCATCCCGATTGCCTGGGGCGGGGGGAACCTTGCTTTTTAAAGTTAATATTAAAGTTAATAGTAAATATATATATATATTTGTAGTGGTTGTAGTGGTGTAGTGGTTAAGTGCGCAGACTCTAATCTGGGAGAAGCGGGTTTGATTCCCCACTCCTCCGCTTGCACCTGCTGGATAACCTCGGGCAAGCCGTAGTTCTCTCAGAGCTGTTCTTGAAAAAGAGCCATTTCTGTCAGAGCTCTCTCAGTCCCGCCTACCTCACAGGGTGTCTGTTGTGGGGAGGGGGAGGGAAAGGAGTTTGTAAGCCGCTTTGAGACTCCTTTGGGGAGTGAAGGGCGGGGTATAAATCCAATCTCTTCTCCTTCTTTTACCTCAAAATGTGTCTGTTGTGGGGAGGGGAAGGAGTTTGTAAGCCGCTCTGAGACACCTTCAGGTAGTGAAGGGTGGGGTATATATCCAATCTTCTCTTCTTCTTCTTCTAATTCAGGATTCTGGTTGACTTCGGGGTGCTTTTCTATGGTTTGCTTGCGTGCAACCGTCTCGGGCATGTCGGGACGGCAACTGTTTCGCCCTCGCAAGAAACGGATGCAAATCAGCAGACTTCTCCAAGGTTTCCAGACAGACTTGGCTCCTAGTCAATGCCTTCTGATGCTTGGCTGAGGCTAGAGAACAGCGAGCACCCTCAGGGGTGCTGGACCTCCTGAGAGCACCTGGTATTTTCGACCCCACTGCTGGACCTCCTGATGGCGCCTGGGATTTCTGGCCCCTGTGTGACACAGAGTGTTGGACTGGATGGGCCACTGGCCTGATCCAGCACTGGCTTCTCTTAGGTTCTTATGTCTGGGGCAAGGGATGCTCTGTCTTCTTGGTGCTTGGGGGGTGGGGGGCAACAGTGCGAGGGCTTCTGGTGTCCTGGCCCCACTGCTGGACCTCCTGATGGCATTGGTATTTCTGGCCACTGTGTGACAGAGAGTGTAGGACTGGATGGGCCACTGGCCTGATCCAACATTGGCTTCTCTTCGGTTCTTATGTTCTTACGATGCAGTTCTCTAGAAGTGTAAGCAGCAGCTCTGACAAATGGAAAGCTCCGGCAATTCCCCCCACTTGGGTTCAATGACAGTGCCTTGGTAGTTTGGGGGAATTTCGTTCCCGTGAAGAAACCAGCAAAACTCGTTAGTGGTTGCTTTCCGTACAGGTTGGGAAGGATGCTGGTGATTAAACTGTTCGGCAGGCAGATCAGCGTTAAGAATATAAGAGAGAAGCCACGATGGGTCAGGCCAATGGCCCTTCCAGTCCAACACTGCGTCACACAGTGGCCAAAGCTCAGATGCTATCAAGAGGTCCACCAGTGGGGCCAGAACTCCAGAAGCCCTCCCACTGTTGGCCCCCAAGCACCAAGAAGACAAAGCATCACTGCCCCAGACATAAGAACATAAGAGAAGCCATGTTGGATCAGGCCAATGACCCACCCAGTCCAACACTCTGTGTCTCACAGTGGCCAAAAACCAGGGGGCATTAGGAGGTCCACCATGGGGGCCAGAACTCCTGAAGCCCTCCCACTCTTGCCCCCCTAGCACCAAGAATACAGAGCATCACTGCCTCAGACATAAGAGCATAAGAGAAGCCATGTTGGAGCAGGCCAATGGCCCGCCCAGTCCAACACTCTGTGTCTCACAGTGGCCAAAACCCAGGGGCCACTGTGTGACACAGAGTGTTGGACTGGATGGGCCGCTGGCCTGATCCAACATGGGCTTCTCATGTTCTTAGGGGAGAGCCCCACCTGACTCCACCCACTTTCCAAAAACACTCTGTGGGCACCACGAAAGGTGTCAGATGGTGCCACGGTGTCCACGGGCACCATCTGGTGATCACGTGTTCTCTGGGTCTGTTTAGCCTGGAGAGGAGATGACTGAGAGAGGATATGATAAACATCATCAAGGACTTGAAGGGCTGCCATAGAGAGGATGGTGCAGAGTTGTTTTCTGTAGTCCCAGAAGGCTGAACCAGAACTACGCACAAATTTCTGTCAGAAATGCCCCACACTTAACAACTGAATGGCAAATAACGTCTGAAACTTTGAAGAGAGTAATGGTTACCTGATGAAATACTGGCTGCTTCCAGTTTAGGTAAACCTGTAAAAAAGCAAAGAGCAAAGAAGTTAGGCATAAAACAGCTCTCGTTGGCTGTAATCTCGGGTGGCTGAACTGCAGAGAGAGGGCTGTCAAATGGCTAGGTGGGTCGTGCGGGGCTGTGGCCCCCGAGAAAAGGAAGGCCCAAGGAAGGGGCTATGGAGCTGTGTCAGGCCGGGCTCTTTCCTGCCAGTTTGGTGTAGAGGTTAGGAGGGCGGACTCTAATCTGGGAGAACCGGGTTTGATTCCCCCACTCCTCCACATGCAGCTGCTGGTGTGACCTTTAGTGGTTTTTAACTGTGACCATCATTTTGAGCTGGGACCTTCTACATACCAAGCAGAGGGTCTACCACTGAGCCACGGCCCCTCTCCATGGCTCTCCAAGGCCTCGGGCGGAGGTCTTTCGCATCACCTCCTACCAGATACTTTAACTGAGAATGCCGGGAGTTGAACCTGGGACCGTCTGCATGCCGAGCAGATGCTCTGCTATGGAACCACAGTCTTCCCCATGAATCTGCCTTATACTGAATTAAGACCACTGGTCCATCAAGGACAGTATTGTCTATGCAAGACCAGCAGCAACTCTCCAGGGTCTCAGGTTAGGGGTCTTTCACATCATCTACTGTCTGGTCAATTTATGCTGGGGATTGAACCTGGGACCTTCTGCATACCAAGCAGATGCTCTACCACTGAGCCATGGCCCCTCGCTCTCTAGTGTCTCAGGAGGAGGTCTTTCACATCACCTACTGTCTGGCCCTTAATTTAACTGGAGATGCCGGGGATGGAACCTGGGACCTTCTACATACCAAGCAGAGGCTCTACCACTGAGCCATGGCCCATCTCCATCGCTCTCTAGTGTCTCAGGAGGAGGTCTTTTACATCACCTACTGTCTGGCCCTTAATTTAACTGGAGATGCCGGGGGTTGAACCTGGGACCTTCTGCATACCAAGCGGATGCTCTACCACTGAGCCATGGCCCATCTCCATCGCTCTCTAGTGTCTCAGGCAGAGGTCCTTCACATCACCTACTGTCTGGTCCTTAATTTAACTGGTGATGCCGGGGATGGAACCTGGGACCTTCTGCATTCCAGGTAGAGGCTCTACCACTCAGCCACGGTCCTTCCCCATGAATCAGCCTTATACTGAATCAGACCCTTGTCCATCAGGGTCAGTATTGTTTACTCAAGACTGGCAGCAGCTCTCTGGGGTCTTGGATCCCAGTCTGGTGTACAGCCAGTTTGGTGTAGTGGTTAAGTGCGTGGATTCTAATCTGGGAGAACTGGGTTTGATTCCCTACTCCTTGCAGTTGCTGGATGACCCTGGGCAAGGCATAGCTGTGTCAGAGCTGTTCTTTCAAGGACAGTTCTGGAATCTGGTCCTTTTACCTGGAGATGCCGGGGACTGACCCTGGGACCTCCTGCGTGCCAAGCCAATACACTACACTGAGCCATGGACCCTTCCCCTAATACTCAACGTACCAATGACCTCGCTCAGGGCAAAGCAGCTTCATAGATTTGTGTGACTGCATGGATTTTGGAAGAATTCTCTGCTTTTCAGCTGTAATGCTGAAATGTCTTATGAGGAAAGGCTGAAAGAGCTGGGTCTGTTTAGCCTGGGAAAGAGAAGGCTTAGAGGGGACATGACTGCAGTCTTCAAATATTTGAAGGGCTGTCATGTAGAAGAGGGAGCAGATCTATTCTCTCTTGCTCCGGATCGCAAGACTAGATCTAATAGGTGGAATTTGCAAGGGAGCCAATACCAGCTGAATATCAGGAGAAACTTCCTGATAGTAAGAGTGGTTGAACAGTGGAACAGTCTGCCTTGGGAGGTGGTGGATGCTCCTTCGCAGGACGTTTTCAAGTGGAGGCTGGACGGCCATCTTCCGGGTATGTTGTAGGGCTCTCCTTCGGCTCTGCTCCTGCAAGGTGCAGGGGGTTGGACTAGATGACTCTCAGTCACTACACCAAACTGGCTCTCAGGCAAGTTAGACTCGATAACATTCTATGATCGTATGATAATGCAATTCTTCCTATTTACACCAAAGTGCGTGACTTCGAAAAGCCACTCAAAACTAGGCGAGAGACAGTTCCTTTCCCCTTCTTCTGGCTTCTGTTTTTCAAGGGCCAAGAGTGTCCTGCATTACCCATGTGCGGTGGATCTTCAAGGAATGACACAAGAGTGTCTGCACACGCATGGATGTGGAGGGAGGGGAGGGACAGGCCGAGGGCGGACTCTGTGCTTTCGTTTACAGATATAGCGAGGAAACAGGGACAGACGAGCCAATCCTTGTGGAACTTCACTTCCCCCAAACAGAACTGCTTACTGTGGTGACGCCGATGCTGTAGGTTCCTAGTAGAAACAGGAGTGGATAATTGACGGTGTTCTTGTACTTGAAACACTCGTACCTGGAAGGCAGACAGGAAGAAAGCCGATGAGATCCAAGAGAAACAAATTACGCAAGCCCGGTCTGCCCTCCAAGGTTTGCAAACTTTAAAGAAGGCGCTCTAGGGAGAGCCAGTTTGGTGTTGTGGTTAAGTGTGCGGACTCTAATCTGGGAGGACCGGGTTTGATTCCCCACGTCTCCACTTGCACCTGCCGGATGACCTTGGGCAAGCCGTAGTTCTGATAAGTACATTTTATGGACATAAGCAAAGCCAGTAAATAATTATATGAGTGCAATACAAAACAATACCAAATCTTGGTGTAGTTGTTCTTGACACTGTTTTGGCTATGCTCCTGGAATGTTTACTCGTCGAGACGTCCTGACGGAGCTGTAAAGTGTGCAAAGCGGACTGAAAAAGTCTTCGTTTTACAGGTTCCCGAACAATATTTATCACTCCTTCACTGGAAAACATGTAGATCCAAGAAATGTAAGAGATAAAGAGAGAGTGCTTTCCTAGGATTAAACAGTAGTCTCGTATGTCTTTTTCAACTCTTTCTCTCTGTTCGTGTTTGTTACCAATCCCTTGACGTAGCACTAGCAGGATCATTATTAATTACTTATTATTATTAATAATTATTAATTATTTCATGGCAGTGGGTTTTCTGGCAGACTGAAACTCTCACTCTTTCTGTGGCGAGCTATGTTTATTTTTGGGACCAAGAGAACTGTGACTGACCCAAAGTCACCCAGCTGGCTTCAAGTGGAGGAGTGGGGGAATCGAACCCGGTTCTCCAGATCAGAATTCATCGCTCAGTCACTACACCAAACTGGCTCTCAGGCAAGTTAGAATACTTACAGCAGTTTAAGGAAATAGATGAATTAGTATGAATCACATAGGACTTAACATCACATAAAGCGCCACGTGAAGCATCATTGTTTGTTTGACTGCGACACATCACTGTTTGTTTCAAGTCTTGAGGACTGGATTTACGACTGCAGTTCATTTTGCATTGTTTCCCTTAAGTCCTAAGGACTGGATTTACTTGCTCAATGGACAGTTAGAAATCATGTTTTTCAGTCCATTGGAATTGGGAAGTTTCTTTGGGGATTGTAGAGTTTTCTTCAAATCCCCAGTCTGTCTATGTACCATTTGTATTTTAGGCATGTATTAAATAACCAACAGTGTATGTTTAATAAGAAGAAGCATTCTTAATAATGAACAGTTTATGAATTCAAACAATTTGGAGCTTCATGTGCTGTTAAGTCATATATAGTTAGAGTCACAGGCATAAGTAACTGAGCAATTATAGTTGAGATTGGATTAAAGTGGTTGGTAAGATCTGTGAATGGCAGTAAATAAGCACAGAAATACAAGCATCTCAGAGCCAAGAGGCAACACCAGGGGAAGGCCTTGGTCGCTGTGCCCTGTTGCTGGGCCCTCCAGAGGAACTGGCTGGCCGCCGTGTGAGACAGGAGGCTGGACTAGATGGACCCTCACTGGTCTGATCCAGCAGGGCTCTTTTTTGAGGTTCTTATCAGGTGAAGGCCTTGGCTTCTCTGCCCTGTTGTTGGCCCTCCAGAAGAACTGGCTGGCCCCTGTGTGAGGCAGGATGCTGGACTAGATGGACCCTCACTGGTTTGATCCAGCAGGGCTATGCTTATGTTATCAGGTGAAGGCCTTGGCTTCTCTGCCCTGTTGTTGGCCCTCCAGAAGAACTGGCTGGCCCCTGTGTGAGGCAGGATGCTGGACTAGATGGACCCTCACTGGTCTGATCCAGCAGGGCTCTGCTTATGTTCTTATCAGGTGAAGGCCTTGGCTTCTCTGCCCTGTTGTTGGCCCTCCAGGGGAACTGGCTGGCGTTTGTGTGAGACCAGATGCTGAACTAGAGGGACCAAAGTTCTGATGCAGCAGGGCCCTTCCTATGTTCTTATGCCAAGCTCTGGGCTCTCCGATGGTTTTTAGCGCTAACGCACTACTAGAAGTGGGAATACAGTTTCTCCACAGGGTGCACCCTCCTTCTCTTTGACGAGAGCAGGATCAGGCACCTTCACGGCAGATTCGGGTATTTTCCAGAAAAACTGGCACATACTTACAGGCAGTAGACAAATGTGCAGCAGCCGTAGATCATGGGCAACTCGTCCAACAGCTACAAAAGAAAAGAAAAAAGACACAGGAGAGATCAACGTTCGTAATCCCGTCAATGGAGGATTACGTCTATCAGGGAAATTCAGGTGGGGTAGCCGGCCGTGTTGTTCTGAAGCGGCAGAATGAAGTTTGAGTCCAGCGGCGCCTTTAAGACCAACAAGGGAAAAAATTTGAAATAAAGAAGAAAGAAGAATTAGACTTTGATTATGACTGGTTGAATTACTGGCAGATTCATGATTTGTATAGGAGTGACAAGAAAAAATATGGTTTCAGGGGAAAAAATAATGAGATAGAAGAGGTGTGGGAGGGAAATGGAAGTAAAATGATATCTAAAATTTATAAGATTTTGTTAAAATGGTACACTGAGGATGAAACAGTAAAAGAACAAATGTAGAAATGGGCGATTAATATGAATAAAGAAATTACAATGTCGTCATGGGAATGGTTATGGAAAAATTCTATAAAATTTTCGACTTGTTATAATATAAAAGAGAACTGTTACAAAATGATGTATAGATGGTATATGACACCGGAAAAAATAGCAAATATGAATGATGATATGTCGAATAAATGTTGGAAATGTAAAAAACATGAAGGTTCATTTTACCTTATGTGGTGGACCTGTGACAAGGCAAGTAATTTTTGGACGGAGGTCCACAGTGAAATGCAGAAAATTTTAAAATGTAATTTTAAAAAAGAGCCAGAAATAATGTTGTTAGGTCTGAAAATGGAAGAATTGAATGTTACCAAAAGAACTTTATTTTAGTATTTGATTTCTACTGCGAGAATGACATATGCCCAATATTGGAAACAAGACAAAATACCAGAAAAATGGGACTGGATTAAAAAAGTTTTGTTTATGGCTGAAATGGACAAAATGACAAGGAAGCTAAGCAACCAAGAAGATGAGGACTTTTTTGAAGAGTGGAAAGACTTTAAAGAGTATTTGGAGACTAACTGGGATGTTACAAATAATTTACTGTGTTTTGAAGAATATTAGAAATAGAATAATCTATGATTAAGTGAAAGTTACCTGATGATTAAAAACATATTGGAGTAAGAATTAACAATGGTGAGAAAAGAAATATTAAAATGTAAAAAGATAGAAAACTTTAAGATTAAAAGATTTAAAGGGATATAAGCATTGCGGGAAGCCAAATGAGGGGTGGGAGGGTAAGGGGATAAAGTAAAATAGGGATAGGTGGAAAATGTGATAAAATGTATAACTCTTTTAAAGGAACTGTATTATCCCATTAATAAAAAACTGTTTAATTAAAAAAAAGACCAACAAGGTTTTATTCGAAGTGTCAGCTTTCATGTGCGTGCACCAATGTTCCCTCTAAGCTGTGGAGTCTTGTGAGCAAATATTCTACTTTGTGAGCTCCTGGCATTAAAGTTGTGAGCGAGCCATTTGGTTACTGCATAAACTAGTTTGCGCTTGTCTGGAGCCCTCCTTCCTGAGCGAAGACAAAAATGTGTGAGCCGGAGGCTAAAAAACTGTGAGCTAGTTCACACTAACTCAACTTAGAGGGAACATTGGCGTGCACACTTCTTCAGACAATCGGAAACGTAAGAATCTAAGAAGAGCCCTGTAGGATTAGACCAGTGGTCCATCCAGTCCAGCGTCCCGGCTCACATGGCAGCCAGACGGAAAAAAGAAGAGACTGTGAGGTAACTGCGCTAGAAAATATTTAAATAACAATCACAAGATTTATACAAAAACGTTTACAAAAAAATCTACATATATAAATGCACAGGGCAATTGAAAATGGTGTGACGATGGTCTCCGGAATGCTCTATCGTTTCAATACTATTCTTCTTCCGAAAGTGGATTGAAAGCCTTAATAAATCATATCCAATAACAATATTATGTGAAGAATCTCTGGTACATGTACGTACAAAAATTCAATAAAAAGTTTGTTTCAGACCTTACATACAGCGACTCTTGGTCTGTCATTTCAACAAGTAGGTATCAAAAATTTCATTAATATTCACCGATGTATCTATGAAATGTAACAATAAAATCTAACACATCAGCATAATTTAGCCACAATTAATTTATACGACTCTACAACTTTTGAAGGCATATACTCACCATAACTTAGTTGCAAGAAATTCTCTGAAAGAATGTTCCTAGGGCAAAGTGCTTGTATAATGCCTTGCTAGATACATGTTCTCACAAAACTTTTATGCTAACTCATCCCAATACCAGTACTGATGCTGCAAAGATTTACCCTGATTCATTATAATGGAAGGTTGCCAACTTATAAGAATACAATATAAGGTTGCTTGCAAAAATTACAATGCATGGTTGCCAACTACCAAGGTTGTCAACTTACAGGAATTACAATACCAGATTGTCAACTTGCAGGAATTACAATACAAGGTTGCCAACTCACAGAAATTTTACAACAAGGTTGCCAATTTACGGGAATAGCTAAGCAAGATAGCCAATTTACAGAAATTATAATATAAGGTTGTCCACTTACGGGAATTATAAATAGCTAAGCAAGATAGCCAACTTACAGAAATTACTTTCCATTATAATGAATCAGGGTAAATCTTTGCAGCATCAGTACTGGTATTGGGATGTATGTAAGGTTTGAAACAAACTTTTTATTGAATTTTTGTATGTACATGTACCAGAGATTCTTCACGTAATATTGTTATTGCATATGATTTATTAAGGCTTTCATCCACTTTCGGAAGAAGAATAGTATCGAAACGATAGAACATTCCGGAGACCATCGTCACACCATTTTCAATTGCCTTGTGCATTTATATATGTAGATTTTTTTGTACACATTTTTGTATAAATTTTGTGATTGTTATTTCTTCTTTTTTCGGTCTGTTCTGTGACTGTGGCCATCATTTTTGAGTCACATGGTGGCCAACCAGTTCCTCTGGACGGCCAGCCACAGGGCATAGAAGCCGAGGCCTTCCCTTGTGGTTGCCTCCTGGCTCTGGGATTCAGAGGTTTACTGCCTCTGAACATGGGAGGTCCCCATTGAGTCACCACAGCTAGTAGCCACTGACAGACCTCTCCTACATCAATCTGTCTACTCCCCTTTTCAAGCTGGCCATCACTACCTCCTCTGGCAGTGAATTCCACATTTTAATCCCTCTCTGTGTAAAGTGGTATTTCCTTTTGTCCATCCTGAACCTACTGCCCGTCAGCTTCACTGGATGCCCTTGAGTCCTAGTCTTTTGGGAGAGGGAGAAAAAGTTCTCCTTGTCCACTCTCTCCACCCCACGCATAATTTTATAAACCTCTCTCATGTCCGGAATGCTCTATCGTTTCTAAACTGAAAAGCCCCAGATCCGTTAGCCTTTCCTCATAGGGATCAAAAACTAGACAGGCTTTGGTGTAATTACAATAAGAAAGATAGGGCTCACCAAAGAAAATTACTCTTCTATATCTTTAACACACTTTGTTGTATTATTATACCAAATTTCCTTATAACAAATTTCCTGTATTAACTACCATTCATTCATTATATATGAAGTACATTTCATGAACATAAGCAAAGCCGGTTAATGATAATATGAGTACAATACAAAACAATACAAAATCTTGATGTAGCTGTTCTTGACGTTGTTTTGGCTGAGCTCCTGGAATGTTTACCCTTTGAGACGCCTGGACGGGAGCTGTAAAGTGTGCAAAGCAAACTGAGGAGTCCTCGTTATACGAGTTCCCAAACTGGGGAATTCTCGACTTGCCGATCTGCCTCTCAGCCACTGTTCTCCGTCAAACCCTGAACGTATCGGCACCGATTCAAGTCCCAGTCTCAGAAGTATTTTTTTCTCATCCCCTCAAATAGTACATAGCCTTCATGTTTAGATTTACTCATCCTGTTAGTCAAGCCTAGTTCGCAAAAACCCTTTTTTAATTAACACCTGCCCTGGACCTTGAAAGTGTTTCCTATAAAACACATCTTAAACATCTGCTGCAACTACTATTTCCCATACAACTCTCTAAGCATCCACTTATTTGACCCTTTTTCAAACTGCTTTTGCATTCCATTTTAGTAACTGGTTTAGCTTTACTCGAAATCGGGCTGGCAACAAATAACATCCGGTTTAGAAAAGTAATGTGAAAAGGGCCGTAGTCTTCACCTGATGATATTTTAAAAACAACAACAACAACCAGGAATAGTAGACCCAAGCAAAGTCCACCCCCCAAAAAAGGTGTGAATGCTGAAGGAAGACTGACCTGCATTTCATACTTCAGGGTCATGTGAAAGCACCACGATCCCAAACCCACAGCTGAAAGGCAAGAAAGAAAACGTTACAGGGAGAACCCTTGCAGGGGACAGGAACCAACCTTAAACGCTCCATCCTCTCTGCCTTCGCATTACGATGCCGTAACAAATGGACTGCTTCTAGTGAGAACAGGGCATACTGTGGGTGGCCTGTGCTAAGGGATCGACCGAGTTTACAGGGAGGGTATTGAAAACAGATCAGCCAATATCATAATGCTCCTATATAAATCAATGGTGCGACCTCATTTGGAGTACTGTGTACAGTTCTGGTCACCACACTTTAAAAAGATATTATAGGTTTTGAAAAAGTGCAGAAAAGGACAACTCGAATGATCAAAGGCTTGGAACACATTCCCTATGAAGAAAGGTTAAAGCGCTTGGGGCTCTTTAGCTTGGAGAAACTACAATGGCTGAGGGGTGACATGATTGAGGTTTATAAGATTATGCCTGGGACAGAGCAGGTAGGGAA